ACAGCTCAGATTTGTCGTTATCTTAAAGTTGGAGTTGACTTGAGAGAAAAAATCTGAATTTCCTCTTTTTGTGTGTTGGTTCTGTCTCGTTGCAGATTTCATCACATCTCTGATTGTCATCGTCTTTACACAGATTTTCTTTGCTGTATTATTCTGAAAATCTTCCGACGTCTAATCCAGGTTCAACGGCTGCAGTTTTAATACACACAGATTATATTCATGACGTTTCTGCGTCAGGTTTCTTCATTGTTTCATTTCAACGTTTGAGCACTTGAATGCGATCGTGTCAGATTTGGGCATATTTCAATATAGTTGCTCTCAGAATCAGGTGAAATGATTTAAAATGCTGTAAATGGAAGTTTTGTAGATCAACCACACACATTTTTTTTCCCCCCACAACCACTCGATTGGTGAAGAGATTTTCTCTCGTCTCTAAAACCACACACATTGACGTGGGGGGGCTTTTCAATGACGGAGCTGAACACTGCTTCCAGTTACTTTCTCTCTGTTTCTCCAACACGACACTTTCCCTTCGGACCGTGCCTTCAGGAGAGATGCTTCCACCTGTAAATAAATATGCAAACAGACAAACATACACAACAGAGTTTAGACACTAGCTGTGGGCTACGACTGATGTATACCACAGAGAGGTGACTGTGTGTGTGTGTGTGTGTGTGTGGGTTGTAATTAATCTCCTTAGTAGCAGCAGTCAATAGAGAGTGCTGCGGTTGGAGGTGCAGATTGTGAGCAGAGTTTGATTATCGGCCTGTCTGGGGAAATTACTGCAAACTGCCTCCCAGCAAAACTTGTGTTTATTATGTCTGCTGAAGAGCAACACACCAGCAACGCTCGGCTTCAGGTCGTCTCAGTGCATCATTGAGGAATTATCTCCATCGAGGTGTTTGTCCTGCGTGTCAGTGAACTGTGGGATCCAGTAGGTGGTGTCCTTTCACCGGGTCAGTGGGGAGGGGGGGGGGGCGGGGGTCCTACAGACCAGCAGCAGCAGCAGCAGGGAGGTGGAACTGGAACCTTGAAACCTCCTGGTTTCCTCCGTCCCTCCTCCTCTGACACCACAAACTGTCAACCCTGGTTTCTCTCTGAGTTCTCATCCTCGCTCACCTCAACATCCAGTGATCTGTCTCGCTTTCAGCTCATCCATCCATCCAACTTTCCTTCCAGCTCGAGCCAGCTTACTCTGTGTGTGTGTGTGGGGGGGGGGGGGGGGCAGTGCCCGAGCATTAAGCTGCATTAAGCCCTAATTAATGAGTGTGCCAGTCGATAGAGGCCAGTTATTGGATTTTCTGCTTTAGCTGCTGGAAGGAGTGCTGCTACTGTAATCACACAACACACACAGACACACACACACAGACACACACCTGCCTCTGAGGCAGGGTATGCAAGGTGAGAGTGGATTAGAGTCCGTGTGTGGGTGGTCCAGGTACTACTCGTGTTGTGGGGACAAAATCTGTTCACACAATCTCATTCTGAGGATTTTTTTTTCTTCCTCATGTGGACAAAAATCAAGTCTCCATAACACATGAGATGTTGAGGTGAAGAAGTGTGTAAGGTCAGAGTGAGGGTTGGATCCAGGCAAAAGTGTGTGTGTGTTGCATAAGATGGCCAAACTCTGTGTGTGTGTGTGTTTCACTGCATTACATAAATGTTCAGATTACAACCTGCAGCAGCTTTAAACATCTTAGGCCGCGACCCGACTGTTTGACTGTTGAGCTCACTCCCTGTCAGGCTGGTGGATCTAAAGCATGTTGACATTTAACGCCGGTGTTTGGATTTAAATTACAGTCCTGTCTAAGAAGGACAAACACACAAATCAAAATTTCACTCTTCTGATGTCTCTGCAGAGAAGAGGATGTTTTCACTCCTCTCTGTTTGTTGGTTTGTGTTTGTTTTGTCGGCAGGATGACGTAAAAACCAGATTCAGATTTTCATGAAACTCGGTGACAGGATGGGACATAAAAAGAAAGAACCCAACACATTCAGATCTAGATCTAGAGCTGATTGTATTGTTTTCTAGAAAATAATTTTTAGAAAATGTCGTTATTTTACTGGAAATGTTCAGAAGTAAACGGTCAATTTGTCCAAACTATGAGCCTTAATCAGATTCTTGTTCCGTTAATCAACTTAATCAGATCCGATCATGAATTCTTCAGAGAGGGATGATTGTTAACTGTGGCAGTGAGTTGTGTTTCGTAACCTCCTCCACACCAGTGAGTGAATGAATCCTCACTGCATCGTCACATTTATCTCTACAAACACACCGAGTGTAAAATATCAGAGCAGCCGCGTCATCACAAAACCTCTGACTGCTGCTTTTTCTCTTTTCCAGAGAAGTTTCTGGTTTGTCCACACACACACACACACACACGAAGATCAGAGGTTGTGATTGGACGAGGATTGGCATTTTCCCAGCGTGACTCAGATTAGTTTGGTGGCGCGGAGCTAAAGGCCGTCAGTCGACACATTACCAACACTTCCCTCATCAAACATTTACAGCCTCAGAACAGCAGGCTCTATTTCTGACCTTTAGGTCCTCGGCTGTGTGTGTGTCGCTGATATCGGCTGCACTTTCGCTGGTGTATCTCGTGTCTTCATCCACAGCGGGGCTCTTTCTGTGTGTGGGCCCTGCTGCGTCATACTGTTTGGACGGGGAGGGGGGGTGTCCGGTCAGGGGCCTGTGAGCCCTCGGCCTCCGGGTCTGAGATGAAACTACCCGGCCCCGGCATTTGCTCAGAGAGAGGAGCGGTCAGAGAGGGCAGGTTGTGAAGCAGGGGGATGAGGATGGAGGAGGAAGGAGGTTCTTATTAAAAAGGAAGAAAAGGGGGATTAAACCCTGCGGTGGAACAGGGCAGAGTGAGGACAACGTGGGGGGAGAGCACGGAGCAGATTGTGGAGGAGAGTTGGGATGTTCGCCTCCCCCGTCTGTCACACGCAGGCAGCCCCGACACTGCCAACATGACCAGCAGGGCAGGGGCATCTGTCTCCCCCCCAGCTACCTCTCTCTGTCTCCCTCTGCCCCTGAGCCACAGCTCCCTTCATCCCCATCCTCCTCCTCTTCATCACACATATAATTCCCGCAGCCTTATCGCCCTCTGAACCTGTTGAAACAACGAGGGACAAAGTAGGAGATTATTTATTTCACGTTAAGATGTGAAGCAGTGGTTCTCAAAGATTCTTGCTCTCTGGTGTTTAGGTTTGATTCCTCGTCACAGACTGAAAGTGAGTTTGAAGCAGCTCAGCTATTTTTACAGTGAAGAGAAGCAGCTCTGTCAGACTGGATTCATCTATCAATCCAATTGTTCAGTTTGTTTCAAAGCGCTTCACAAGATGTGACATCCTCTGCCCTTAACCCTCATAAAGAGTGAGGGGAAACCAAACCCACTGACAGGGAGAAATATATTCAGAGGTCTATCAGGATCTTAAGTACAAATGAAAATGTCGGAGCTGAGCAGTAATGACAGCTGTAAGAGATTTGTCTGGTAATAGTGAGATATCATATCTCTAAGTGATCTAGTTGGAATCGTGATCCACCTCCACAGTTGGGAGGAGAAGTCTCTGTGAACTTCAGCTCCTTTCACAGATGTTTGAGTTTTTAGCCACAGGGTAATGTTGTGTTAAATGGACATACACACGGAATATCCAAATACTTCAAAGTTAATCCTTTAATTTCAGGGTTCATTGTTATATTTATCCACTGTTGTGTGTGTGTGTGTGTGTGTGTGTGTTACGGGGGGGGGGGGGGTGAGTGACTGAATGAGTGAAAGGATGAATGAGTGAAATAATAGGGGAGCTGCTGGTGGGAAATATCTTAACAGGCAATGCACCCCCACCCCTACCCCCGAAACACACACTCAACACACACACTATTCATACACCCTCACCCCCAAACCCCAGCTGGATAACACCACACACACACACACACACACACACACACACACACACACACACTCACACACTCTGTCTAATCCCAGTGTGCCAGTGAAAGAGGTGATTGTCTGCGGCTGTGTCAGAGGGGACGCACTAATTGGAACGTCCCACTAATTACACAACACTCGCACAACTTTCTCACACCACTGTTTGCTCAGTGTTACATCATGTCATCACACCGCCAATGATCAAATGTTCAGACAAACTCACGTAGAGTAAAAAGCACGTCAACATGACTGCTGCTATTTATTGGTGTCGCTTTCATTTCAGGAAGAAAATTTAAAATGCCTGAAAAAAGTAAAAGACGCTAAAGTGATGTGTTAACATGTCGTATTTAAACCCACAGATATTCAGTTTATGATCGTGTGATGAAGAAACATCTCCTGACAATGTAGAAGCTGGTACAAACACATTTCTACCTGAAAATTCAGAACAATGATTTATCATTTATGAAAATACTGAAAATAGTTTTGGATCGTGGCTTTATGTTTCGGGTTAGTTTGATCGTAACAGCTATTTTTGTGTTTTAAAGTACAGTACGTAGAGATTTAAGTCGGTTGTGTGTAAAATCAGTGAGAAGCCGTTTGTCTGGTTCTGGATTTACTGAAAAACGCATTGTCCGTACTTTGTCGTTAATCGTGAGAGTCAGACATTGAGATTCCAGCTCTACTGATTGTCTCTCCAGCTTCCCAACAGCAGACGAGTGGATTCTCTGTCCATGTGTTTCCTGTTTCCTCCTCTTCATCACCACCACTGCTTCTGTTTGGATCCAGATGTTATTTATGGTTCTTACTGAGGCCGATGTGCAGGGAGACATGGACATACTGTATCTATGAGCTCTGTGTTCACTTTGTGTCAAACCCAAATGACTTTAACTGTGAGGTAGTGAGTGGTCACGTGTAGCATGTGGTGGATTAAGAGTTAACAAGACACGTTTTCTGAAAAGTAGTTTTTCTGATTTCAGTTCTATTTTCATTTGAGCAGAGCTGAGAAAGTTCAGGAGGTTTTAAATCTCATTTTTCACCACGAAGCAAACAGTCGACACCACGGCTGCAGATTGACATAGTGCTTTATTGAAGCTGTCCGTAAGAAGGAAAATAATGTGCATCCCTATCATATACATTTTATGTGTAAAAATACTAAGGATGTACAGTGTAAAAAAACAGCTTCATGTTGATGGTAATTTGTTGTCTTCACATCCCGGCGGCCTCAGCGGCCAGCAGCACTGCGTCCTCACAGCATGAGGGACAGAAAAAGGCTGTTTGATCTGCTTTTCTGTGAACCCGTCCGGATCTGCAGAGTTTCCCTGACGCTCACTCAGAGTCGACGTCGCCTCGTAGCAGAGTCGACTCCGGCGCCTCGGGGAAACTCTGCCCTGCGAACAGCTCAGAGCTGTCCACGAACGTCTCGCACGACTGTAAAGCTACAGTAGATGGACATGGACATGAGAGTAAAACTGTTACACTTTCTAATATTTGTATGTTTGCTGTTTTTTTTGTTTGCTGTTTATAAATAAATGCATCCCATGCTTGTTCATGTTAATAACCATGATGATAGTAGACTAGTACCAGAGAGAAGGGGGGGGGGGGGTTCTGTCGCAGACATGAGGTCAGACACTCTCAGAAAATCCTTCCAAACACTCGAGCCGTTTACTTATCTGCAATAAATGCCAGGCGGAGAAGTTTGTGATTTTGGCTGACGCCGTCGCTTCATTAACAACGGTCGAGATCAACACGGAACAGCGAAGGTCTTTTAGAGGATTTAACATATTATTCAAATACTCTTGGAGTCAGATCTGTTGTGTGATAGATGAACAGTACAAACAGCAGCAGCAGCTTGAAGAGCGAACGCTGTCAGTGCAGCGTCAGATATCGATGTCGAGGGCACCAGTAAAAGCTGTGAGGAGGCGGACACTGAATTTCTTCTTCCAGTGAAACCACCTCTGTAGGGTGAGAACAGTGAATGTGCCCACGACTGGTTCATAGTCTTTAAGTGAAAACCCACATGGATGAGGAGGATCACTAAACTCCACCTTCTCTGGAGGTGGAGGGAAAACATTTCTTCTGTCGTGGTCTCTGACCTTTGACCTCTGAACTTGAATCTGTTGAGGGCTGAATGAGAGTTTGAGGGAGAAGTGTTCGGCAGAGGAAGGAGTCAGAGGCATGAGTGGAGTTGTGGTGACGGCTCAGTGAGCCTCATTCAGGACACACTCTGCAGGGACAGCACTGACTCGTCTCTGGCATGTGAGACACGATCACCCGGGTCTCGCCAACTCGAGACATCAGAGCAGCATCGAAGCTGCCTGTCGTATGTGGAGGGAGGGTGCTTTAAAAAAAAATCCTCATTTTTCTTAAAAACATAAAAAAAGCTAAAAACAAAAATCTCCTTTTAAAGCAGAGCTGAATCAGATTCCTCTGAATCATATCAAAAAGTGATGGATGTGAAAGTGCTGTGGCCAAAGATACAAAGTGGTATTTTATGAACTCTGGCGTCTAATGAGTTTGGCGTTGAGCGTGCACATGCAGCTAGAACTCCTCAGTCGCTCGCAGACCTGGGTCAAATCAGAGCTGAAATCCTTCCAAATACTTGGGAGCGCTTGCCTGAGCCTGTGGAAGGTGCCAGCTGGGTGGGATTTGTACTTATTTTTGAACTTTTCGGCTACTTCCGCTGTGCCAGACAGGCCCAAGTGATCACAGAAAAGTATTTTTCATAAGAGTTCTGTGTGCCACTTTGACTCAGGGCTGGTGCTGCGGAGAGAGTACAGCATGCAGGCCTCTTTCACTTTCTGCCTTTCGCTAATTGCAATTCAGTTTATGTGCAAGAGTAAATCATGTGGACTTAAGAGCAGCAGGAAAACAGGTAATGTCGTTTAAGATCTGTAAAGAAAAAAAAAACAAAAAAAAAAAACAACGGAGGCATTTATTTTCGAACAAAGTCTCTGAAGAGTGAATCCGCAGAGTGAAACACGACTACGCCCCCTCACTGCTAAACTCACATCAAATAAATTAAACAGAAAAGAGAAATTCAAGTTATATCAATGATCATAAAAACATTCACATAAATAGAGTGGAATGCAGTTTTCTAATGAGAGCGCAGCCCCTGGTGTTTTTAATTCACGTCGTCCTCTTTGTCGTTTGACATCTTCCACATGTTTTGGATTTTTTTAAAATATATTTCAGATTTTTTTCTTTTTTCTTTTTACTCTTAAGTGCTGGATGTCAATGTTTTTTCATGATTCTGAGCTCAACCGGCCCGGAGTTTAAAATCTTTGTTGGTCAAACTGGAAGACAATGACGACAAAACAATCGCAAAAACAAACAGGACCGGAGAAATGTTGGGACGCGTTAAAGATGGACGAGAGTCTCATGTGAAGATCCGACACACACTGACCTTTAAACGCTCCCTCGTGCCTCCACTTCGACTTCCTCCTCTCATTCACCTCGACGCACTTAGTTTAGTCTCCTTCCACACTTCCTGCTTTACATTCTGTGCTGCACTCGTTTTCTTTTCGACTCAACTTCCTCTTTCTCTCTGAACTTCACCGACTCGAACCTGTGACCAGATTAAACGTGGCGGACATTCCTGTCAGTGTCAGGTGACGCGAGCCTTCACGCTCAACACCTGTGGGATGATTTGGATAAAGCTGAAGAAGAATTTCATATCCTCTTCTTGTTTCTTTTTTTTTTTTAATCTGCTCACAGTAAACTCTCGTCATCTTTTACGCGTCCCGTCACATTTTGGTCAGAAAACAACACACAAACATTTAAATAAACGATGGAGCAGGAAGGCTATCTGCTTTCCCTCCTACATTCTTCAGCCATTTTTGTTTCTTGAGGTGCCTTTTTTTTCTTCCTCTCAGCCCTAAGAAATAATTATCTCTAGAATAACGTAATAACAATAGAAAAAGTTAAATATAAAACCGATGAGTAGAACAATAAATAGAACATATATATATTATAGCCTTTGCTGTGATTGGTGTAAACCCAAAACGTTTTAAGGGGAACCACCTCATCAACCATTTTTTTTTTCTTTTAAAATCCTTCATAAGAAAGTCACAGGAAACAGGAGATTAACAGATACCTCGCTCGTCGACACGTCATAAAATATCACATTGTAAATATTTCATATTGTATCATTCATGGAGCTGTTCACCTGTACACACTCTCTCTGCTCGTCACTGTGGACCTGTTGTCCTGGACTCTTATTTTTCACACTGCGGTGAATCTGTCCCTGCTGCGGTTTCCCTTTCCTGCACAGTGACACACAGAGGTACAGTCGTGTGCTTCCCAAAGCCATGATAACAATATGTCACAGTAAAGCTTTCCATCGTCCATGCTCAGTACCCTTTCGCTTTGTGTTTTCCCTTTTGTGACAGAGACTGAAACTCAGAGGGACTCATAGCTGTTGAGAAATAAATAAAAAAGAAAGAACTTTTGGGAAGGGAGGGGGGGGGTCGTTAAAAAGGCCCTCTCCTTTTTTCACCTCTGCAATCACAGATATATCAACCACCTTGCACTGCATTGTGGGTAACGTAGTAAAGCTCACGGTTTGGGAGCTTCATCCTTCTGAGCTGCTGTGCTTTGAGGTGCGATCTTCAACACAAACCAATAATAATAATGATAATAATAATAATTATAATAATAATAGTACCTCGCACACGCTCACACAAACATCACATCATCTGGATCTACAGACATGTAGTGGTAACATCTGTACTGCAGCTGTAAACGCACGGATGTGAATACAGGTGGTTTGATGTGTAGCTGGCGCCTTTGTAATGACCTGCAGCATCAAGCTAGTAGTGTAGCACCGGGTTTTAGAAGTATAGCAGTAGTACCTGTAGTAGTTGTAGTAGTAGTTGAAATAGCAGCAACAATAAGAATGAATTGCACTGAGCAAAACCTGAGTCGAATCCTGCTCGGTGACACGAGGTGTGCACGATTCTGCTCGCTGACGACAACTGTTTCCTCAATGCCAGGCAGCCTCAGTCAATCCCAGATGTATTAATTACGTAAGGACATGAAATCAGAGCCGAGTGTCTCGCTGAGTCTGAGAATCTGTTTGCAAAAGCCTGAGATACAACCGGAAACGGCAGTTTGGGTTCGAACGACTTAAAACGCTGTATCTCCCTCGTACGGATCGGAAGCCACAGAAACGTCTCCTTTTAAAAAAAATCCATCAGCTGTCGTCTAACTTGATCAGAGGTGCTTGATTTTAGTTTGTCAGGACCCACATACATCAAAGCACAGCAGGCCACCGGTGATGCTCCTGTCATTAAAGGGACATTACATAGTAAGTGATCACATCACAGCTCGGATCACCTGGGGATGCAGTGCAGGATTTAGAGGGAAATTTTGCTAAATTTTTCTAAAGATGGATTCACAAAATCAGAATAAAGAAATAGATAGAGAGGTGAAGAAGAGGAGGAGAAGGGCTAAATCCTTCAAGTCATTGTTTTTGGGTCAGTCCAAAGCTGTGGGTCTTTTTTTTTTTGTCCCACACTGATGACCTCAGAGATCAGCTGTGATGCCGTCACCGCGTGACGGACTGATCATTCCCGCCCGCTGGCCGAGTAGGAGAACTGTGGGAAGTGCGGCCGTCTCTCGTTGTCCAGACAGTCCATCCCGTCCTCGTCAACTAAGAAAGAGAAAAAACACAAGAGAAAGTTCGGAGGAAATCAATCTGCAAATTGCCGCGTTGATTTCATGATCCCAGAATAAAACTCAACACGACAAACCGGCGTGTTTGTATTGTGCTGCAGATTTAAACAGAACACAATTCAATTAACAAGTGGCTCTTTGAGGTGCAAATCTGCCGCTGACTAACTGATGTGTGACCTACAAAAACAAGTGGAACCTACACGATCGTGCACAGAAACACGTCGCTTCCACTCATGCATAATTCAGCGCTGAGCATTTTAAAACTGCTATCTGTGTCTGAAAAGGCTGTGAAGAGCCACATGTGCCCTGAGGACTATTACAGAGACACTTGAACAAACACACAACAGCACTTTTGAGTGCTTGTTCCCCTCAGTTAATTCAAGAGGAAATGTCTCACCTGAAGAAAGAGAAGGAGCAATGATTAATTTAATAAAGCTGCTGGAATTAAAGGGAGTAAAGTTTTATCACTATCAGCTGCTTGAGAGATTAAATCTATCTGATGTGCAGCCCGATCATTTATTGAGATTATGCTCTATGCTGCAGAGTTTGTTCTAAATCTATTCAAAAATATATCCCACATATAATTTTGGTCTTTTCTAACAGTAACATTTAATATTTAACTCACTTGATAAACAACTCAAGGACAAACGTCTTTTTTTTCCCCCTCAGTCTGTTTATTTCTATATTTATCTCGTCGCTGAGAATATTTGCAGCTCTGTAAATCCTCAAAGTGAGATTCCGTCAAGTGGTAACGTGGGCATATGTTTGTGTGTACATGTGTGAGGAAGAGAGACGGGCAGAGACTCACATTTCTCTGGTGGAGTGACGGTGATGGTCTGGGCTGTGAACTCCTCGTCAAAGTATCTGGTGTCTGTCTCCGACGTCACCTGAGGCTTGAAGGGCGGGACGAGCTGGGAGGGAGAAGTGAGCGGGGACAGGATGAGGACAGATTAGACAACAGTACATCTACAGAACCGCTGCTCTAAGGACGACAAACTCTGGACATTTCAAAACTAAATAAAAGCTCCTTGATATGATGAAATAGAACCAATTGAATGGCAAATATCATAATGAAATAATTATGATTATAATAAAAGTGAATACAGTTTGAAAGTATATATAAAGAAAGCAGACAAGGCATACAATTAAAATTAAAGTAAATAATTTGAAAATAATTGCAGCAGTTCAAAGTCTGGATCAGGAGAATCAGGACTCATTCAAAGCTAAAGTGATAAGATACGTTTTTAGATGGATCCACAAAATAATCCATTTAAGAAGGTAGTTTATTCCACCAAACTAAATAAAGGACGTGCAATGACTTGTAAAAGCCACCAAATGGAGTAGAACCAAGATATTCACTTTTATTATAGTGCAGCATGAGATATATCAAATCACACAACAACCATGCACACAATTTAAACTTCAAATGCAGGGAATTAAATAACTGCACATCTTTACAATAAATAAAATTGATTATTTTCTACCATTCTGTTCTGCCTTATAACAAATATTGCTCTGTCCCTAACTTTACCTTTTTATCGTAGACGTCCTGCCAGTCAACACCAGTGAAGAAACTGTGTCTCATTATTTCTTTAGCATCATCTGGTCCTCCACCGAGCCTGGAGAAGAGGAGAGAAATATAAAAAACATGACAACAAACAGGTCAGAGGAAGGAACATTTGATTTGAACCGACAAGAACAGGAAGTGATCAAAGTGATAAAAGTAATGAGAAAGTGAGATATTCACTACTTTCTTTAGAAAATAATCTTATTGCTCGCTTAAATTGAGATCCAGTCACAAAAACCAGGTCAAATATTAGGTGAATGAGAAACAAACACTGCCATCAGTTAGGAAAAGACAGTACTTCTTTAAAAATCTGCAGAACAGCACAGTTTGAAAAGATTCATCAGGGAGTTCCCCGAGATGTTTGCAAAAGCTTTGTGTACGAGAACCTTGAAATCTGCTCACGATGTGTAACCGAGGAGAAGAGCTGCGGTTTTAGAGGCGAAGGACGGTCGAAGCAGTTCAGGGTTTTTATAGTTAATTGATTCATAAAAAGTCTTCTCTTTACCTTTGGCACAGAAATGTGAATAGAGCGGATCTAATGTTTGTTCATATCCCTGATGAAGGTTGTGTTCACCTTGTAAATAAATATGGCAGCATGAAGTGAGACAGTATTTTCATTTGTATTCACATCAGGAGCTTTTTTTCTTTCAGTTTTTTAAGCTAAACTGAAAAAAAGAGGTGGTTTTAATTGTGAAGGATAAGAATTATACACTAGTTGTTTTTGGTTTTTTTTGTCTGTGTGGTTCATATATCTTTATCCCACACTACTACATCAACACACACGAGCACCGACACAAATTAAACCTGGACACACACCGTTTGTTGGGGTCTTTGATGAGCAGGCCGGACAGCAGCGACTTTGCGTCGGATGACAGAGTGCGAGGGAACTTGATGTCCTCCATGAGGATGAGCTCGAACAGCTTCTCGTGGTCCTGGTTGTAGAACGGCAGTCGGCCGCACATCATCTCGTACGTCACCACACCCAAACCCCACCAGTCCACCGCCCGACCGTAGTCGTTGTCCTCCAGGACCTGAGGAGAGGAGAGAAACACAGATAGACAAGTTTTTTTTTATGGGACCGTTTGTTTTATTGGACATCTGCTTTTATTCTGCTTTTATAGGACGATGAACGCTGCCCAAGGTGCTCGGTGAGGAGACAGATGAAGGAAAAAACAGCACACAGAGTCAATATGCTGTTTAGCTCAGGGGATAAATTAAAAAAAGTAAAAGTTGCGTGATATGAAGGGAGGCAGCTGCACAGATGACAAGGGCTGAGGTGTGGACAGCAGAGCCCCTCTCTCAATAAACACACACACATACAGAGGCAAACATCATGGGATGGCAGGTCTTCAGAGGCCCCTGTTACAGTAAGGGAGTCAGTGTGTTGGTGGGGTCCACCAGATGCCCCCCCCCCCCGGGTTCCTGCCAGCTCTCCCTGGCAAATTGATGCTCTCCTGGCAGGGACAGTGAGGAACGTCCCTGAATGTAAAAGGTAGAAACAGCTCGCAACATGGGTCAGTGGCGGCCAAGCTGGCGAGCGCAGGTACCTTGTGTTCCCCCCTCACGCCTGTCCTGTCTTATCCTGCCTTTTCCGTCCTCTAATCATGTCTTCTTGCTCTCGTTCCTTCTCTTTCATCGAGTCATGTGCCCGTTCCTTCACCTCTGGAAGAGTGAGAAAGACGAGGAAGATACAGCCCCTGAGGTAGTTGATCTTGTGTCGAGGCCTTCGTCAACATAGTAATCTTACAATATGTGTGTATCCAAACTTGCGTTGTATATCTGTGTGTGTGTGTGTGTGTGACTGATGGACAGACAGGCAGTGTGGGACAGCAGCCAGACCAGCATATGTCGTACATCTCGCCAATAATAACATCTCACTCACAGTTAATAATGGACCAGGCAGGGTGGACGTGAGCACACGGAAACAGACACTAAACACACGAATGCAAAAAAACCCAACATGTTTTTCACACAACCAGATAATAAAACTTTACAGTAAATGTCCCAGAAACGGTTTAACAATGAACTGCACAGTGAACTCATATCTGTCATTAGCTGTGGTGAGATGAGCGGCAGATGCAGATAATACAGGTGTCATAAATACACAAATAGCTTTGACGAGAATAGAGACGTGTTTATGGAATCTAAATGACCGGGTGTGAAAATGCATAATTCATTTTAGGAAACTGAATATTTGAATAGTCGTGTCAAAAAAAGAGGCTGTGTTGGTTTGACATTCTATAATCTCATATTTGGATATTTAAAAATAAATCTTTATGATACACATAGAAATATATTTCCTTGTCAACCTAAATTGGCCCGTCCTTCCCTAGGATTACAAAACATATCTTCTTCTGGTATTTCACACACAAAACGTGGTGAAAAGAAAAAGAGACAATAAACAAAACATTTATAAATTGTCAGACGGGCATTGGGAGAGTGTGTACAGAAAGGCCCCAACAGTCCCCTGCTCAGACCACATTTACATTCACTAGATACAGATTTATATTTGGAGCTGCCCCAAATTGCACACACTCATAAATATCAGTTCCCAAAACATGGCTGATTTTTATCATGAAAGATCCATGAACTGTTCTGACAAATCAAGAAAATGTTGAAAAACTTCCCATCTCAAAATGTTAAAGTCAGTTTTAAAAAATTTGGATCTGCCCCCTGTTCTGTATTTTTATTAAAATTGAACACATTTTCTTTCCTGACCCATTTCACATCCTGCAACCGAACTTCGTGGTAACAAGTTCTTTAATCTCACTGACGAACAAATGCAGATAAAAACACAATCCCCTGGTAACAGACTATTACTGATTACTTTCAGTCACTGAAACATATTCAGAGTTTTACTGATCGTGAATCCGGCATCTTTAACCCTTGAGTCTGCGAGAGATCGGTTGTAATTAACAGTCACCACAGGTAGGCAGAGAAATCATATTCGTCTAACATATTACTGAGGGATTTTCCTAATAAGTGTCAGATGAGGTTCTGTCGTACAACAGACCAGGTGAGAGAAAACACCAAACAGCTGCCTGTGGGTTTCCACAGCAGCTCAATATCACAAATTTGATCATTAACTGACTGAGCTCGTGCACTCGGTGCTTAACTGCTAATGATGCAGGCGGCTGCTTCAGCGTGTGCACGTCAACGTGGGCACGGGAGTGAGAGAGAGATATACATGTTTGCTATTTTGTGTGTGTGTGTGTTAGTGTGTGTGTGTGTGTGTGTGAGTGTGTGTGTGTGCACATTGAGCTGGTCACCCTGTTGGCAGCTGCAGAGAAGAGCTGGGGGAATGAAGTGTGCCGCCAGCTCCAGATATACTATTGATTGGTACTGCTGGATGGATAACACTGGCTTAGACTGCTGGGAGACTGTCTTTCACACATATACACACACACAGACACACACACACACACACACACAGAAACACACACAGACACACACAAACAGCAGATGGAATATTTATCCATCCTCATCAAATTCATAAAGTTTTGAGAGTAAGGCAAATTAGAAGATGTTTGGTGTTGTTTCAGTCCCTGCAGCTTGAGGAGGGACACACACATTCACACACACACACACACATAGACATTTTGCATTTTTGATTATGAAATTCAGAGCTGTCTTCTACATGTATGGATGTGATGTGCACTGTGTAAGTCTTTGTACAAAAAAGGAAATAAGAATGTATAACAACGTAAAACTAACCAGTTGGGCATGTGTGTGTGTGTGTGTGTGTGTGTGTGTGTGTGTGTGTGTGTGTGTGTGTGTGTGTGTGTGTCGTGGGACCAAAAAAAGTGGTGGCAGCTCGGTTGCAGGCAGGGAGCAGATTAATCCACACAGAGCCAGAATGCTGCCCCACAGCCGTAGGCATGAGGCAAGGGAGTGTGTGTGTATGTGTGTGAACAGAACGTGTGGTTATGTGTGTATATTTAAGAAAAAGACAGGACAAATAAATAGGACGAGAGCAGAAGAGAGGAGAGGAGGGGTAAAAGCAGCCATGAGGGAAAAGGTCTTGTCCTGTCCTGGTCCCTGTTGGAGCAGCCATGTGGCAGCTAGAAGCTGTTCATAGGACAAGGGCTTTGGCAGCCTGGACAGGACGAGATGGGACGAGCACACACAGCCCCGTGGCTGTAACAGCCCAGATACTCAGCAGGGAACACAAACACACAAACACACCTCACAGTGAACATACACTCACATATTGTTGGTGTCAAACACAGACCTTCTACGTCCAAAGTGTTATGTGGAAAATTCAGTTAATGCTGTCTAACTTGCTTTTTACTAATGGCTGAATAAACTGCTGTGTTTACAAGACATGTACAGTTAGGATAAAAAACAGAATAACTAAGAATACCAAACATGAACAACACACAAGAAAATAAAAACAAACACAAATAAATGGAAAAAAAGCCCAAATCCAACCTTTTAACCAAAAACAGCGAACAACGAAATGTGTCAAACACACGAAATATGAGAAAACAGAGAGAAAACTCTCTGCATGTGTTTCCTCTGATCTGGTTCCACCCTTTTAACGAGGACCTTATACTGCACATTGTTCATTAATCTCACATTAATCTCTTTATTTATTTCTGACTATCCTTGAAACAAACAATAACACTTCAGTCTGATTCTTTACAAGTTCGGCTGCGACATTATTCACTTCATGTGTTATGCTGTGTGTCTTCCTTCAGGCACTTGCAGACACAGACCCTTTTTAAACACCTCTCATCTGCCCTTTTCACTGACGGCAAACACAGGAACTGTCTGAATTTCACTCCTGTAACCCTGAAATATTTTTCTCTCTTCTCATCTTCCTCTGTCTTCAACCCCCACCTCCCCCTTTCTCTTTTTAATCCCGGCTACTTTGCATCACTGTAACTTGGCTCAGAGCAAACTGTGTTATTTTTACACGCGGGCGGGCGAGCAGAGCGAGCGGGCGGGCGAGTGGCGGCGGTGTAGATTTCCAGGTTTTTTCCGAGCACCTTCCTCCAACCTCGCCCATCTGCCGCCATCTGCCTCGCTTTAGCCCGCACTTTCTACTGCAATCACACACACAGCGCACACGCGCACACACACACACAAATGCACACAGACGCACATCCTGTGAAAAATAACCAACAGCCTCCAATCAGCTTTTGGCACGCAAAGGGAGGGACTCTAAAAAAAACACAAATGCTGCGCCAAATTGTCCTCCATACTTTTTCAAGTGGGATATACACTATGCTTCTCCCCTCCTGCTTTCATCTCCACATCTCCATCGCTCTGTCTCCACCACCCACAGTCCTGCAACGCTCTCGCCAGTTGATCTGCTGGCCTTCGAGTGAGGCAGAGCTGATGGCTGGACAGCGGATGGCTGCAAAAAAATTTTCCAAGAACATAGTGATGTGTCTGTGTGTCTGTGTGTGTACGTGTGTTAGTGTGAGCACTGTGCTGTGCCCTTTTCAAATTCAACCAACACCCTTGTTCACACGCATAAGCTGCATATTTACAGTTCACCCTGATATTATGGAAATGTTTCGCTGGTGAACTCTGCAAATGAAAATGTACACAAATACATTCCACTATAAGAAGATATTACACGCAGCTACTGCGGGTACTTCGTTTATCGCCCATTTATCAAAGATCAGTAATAATCCCGGTCCTCCCACTGATCAGTCAGGGCCGTTGTTAGATAAGCAGGTGTTGTGCAGTGGGCAACATGAGTCCCACAGTTCACAGGGGCTGTCCTGAACCCTGAGCGCTGCAGATTCACTGCTTAATGGATTGGCTGCCTGTGGAGGCCACAGATGCCTTTATGTACTTCACAGCCTCAGTCTTATGTACATAAAATAACTGAATATCATTACTGTGCATGTGTTCAAATGTATTTAAACAAGGTACAGTCATCAGTCATGGCTTCTCATGTCATCTGGGATAAACTTTACATTGAGTAGAATATATATATATACTAGAACACATGAATACGTAGTTTTTGTAATGATCAAGTATTCAGGTCGACTGTGTATTATCTAATGATGGAGCAATGCCACAGCAAAAGCTGGGTGGTATCCTAAATGTTTACCACTGTTGTGCTTAATATATCCCACTCACTCTTTGAGAAGCACTTTGGGAGGTCAAGGGAGATTGTACAAAGAGACACAAGGTCTAAATGAGGAGAGAGGGAGACAGTTTTTAACTGTTCAGCTTTCAATTGTTTTTTGTTTAAGGTTTCTGCAACAAAACTTAGGTTCAGGAAAATATGTTTGGGTTACAATAGACCATGTTACCCACAAGCCTTTCTGTCCCATTGACTCTTTAAGGGGTCAAAGACAGAATAACATCGGGGTGTAAATAGCCACATTATTCATCCACCCTGGGTTCAAGTAGCATTTTTGGCTCTGGACATCTGAGTGTGTGAACTGACATTACAGTTCACCTTCACTTCACTCGTCTCTTACTCCTGCCTTTCTTTTTTCACACCTAGGATTAAGACATGTAAACCCGCTACACTGTGGAGGAGATGCTGTGATGTTATATTTTACATTAGCCTTCACACCTTACTTTAAGGTGGGTGTGGGTGTTATAGAACCCCAAGAATTTAATTTTGTCCTACTCTTACACTCTTACTGTATAACAGAAGAACATAATGGATAGATGATTAGATGGATAAAAGAGCAAGAAGATAAAGGGAGACTTAAGACATGGGCACAGGTCATAAAATCATGAAGAAAGACCCATTGAAGAAGTTGATACGAACTCTAATCCATGTCGTAGTTGCCTTTGCATGCCACCCTCCCCCTGGAATAATTGTAACCTCAACTAAAAGCTGACTGCTGATTCAATATGATGTGTGTTGTGCTACCGCTCGTAGTCTAAACAATGACATTTGAAAATATAAAGTATAAAAAGAGGGTTACCTCTGGTGCTAGGTACTCTGGAGTGCCACAGAAGGTCTTCATGGTAGCAGCGTCTGTGATACCCTCCTTGCAGAGGCCAAAATCAGTGATCTTGATATGGCCATCTTTATCCAGCATCAGGTTTTCCAACTGAAATGGAAACAAAATGTTCAGCATCACTTCCCACAATGCCACTTGTAGCATCAGAATCTTAAAAGAAAAACTGTGAAAATGGAAAAGACACATTTAGTCCTGGTGATGCATTTATCGGGAACAGGTTTGAATTCATCTGAAGGGCCTTTTGTCAGAGGTTATAAAAATATATTTTACTGTTTGATCGTGACTGAGAATCAACACTGTTACTTAGTCGCTTTGGTAACTAAGTGGAATACTTTGTGTACTGTGAAGTCAAGGTTTTACTGCTTTGAAGAAGAGAGCAGAGGCAGACATGTGAGGACAACCATTTTGTATTAGCCCACATGGTGACGGTAGACACACTCAGGTGCACAAACTCTGAGCAGAGGAGGGAAATAAACTTCAGGCGTGTAGTGGAGCCACTCAACCTTTTAATTTTAATGGCTGAAGTGTTTTTCTCGCTCTCTGTCAGCTTTCTTCTCCTTCCTGTTTTCTTGGCTGCTGTGAGCGGGACTGGGGCCAAGGCTGCCAGGCAGGCGCTCAGACAGAGCCATCTACCTCTCTACCTCTGTGGCATCAGCACCCCCTCCCTCCCGCCTGCCTCTGCCTTCCGCACTTCTTCTCTGTTTTATGTCTGTGTGAGCTCGTCCCTGTCCCTCTCTTTAATTACCACACACCCTGAGACGCTCGTCTGCTCTTGGATGAAAAATAAACAGTGGAAACATAAGAGATGTGGGGGCTTTAAAAAATGTTTTTTCCCCTCAAATATCTGATCATTCTCTTCCAATGCCCCCAAACCAGCCCCCGTCTCTGCTTCTGTTTACCTTGAGGTCCCGGTACACAATCTTGGCGGAATGCAGGTAGTCTAGAGCTGAGACGATCTCGGCGCCGTAGAAGCGCGTGCGCTCCTCCGAGAACACCCGCTCTCTGGACAAATGGAAAAACAGCTGCGGCAGAAGGAGGGAGGATATGGGAGGAAGAGAGGGTGAGAGGGAGTTAGAGAGAGGGAGAGAGAAAGAGGGGGGGAGAGACAGCAGGGACGGCACAGCAATAATTACTGATTTATTGGAGGAAATTAGCACAACACAAACTGGCTGCCCGCACCATATTGAGATGATAGATAGTGGAAGGGAGGGTGAGTGTGGGGTGCGTGTGCGAGAGGTGCTTGTGGAGAGGGGTTGGGTGGGTGGGGGGGTGTCTCGGAGGAGGGTGGGTGGAGGCACTCGGCAGCTGGCGCCTCATCTAGCAGCCCCCCTCAACACACACACTCACACACATACCTCTTCCATGTTACCCTCTGGGCTAGGTTGGCACAGTGTTGGCGTGGAGTTAGGCAACGGGGGCCAAATCAAGGGTTTAATCAATACACCAGTCTAGTTAAAGAGAGGCCGACCGCCGCTGCCGCCGCCGCCAATCGCCCCACCCTACCCCACCTCCCATCCCCACCGCCTCCAGTGCCGCACTCATTAGTGGCCTAACTGGCCTTGCCCCTTGAGCCTCCATCTTCATTTACTTCATTCTCATATCCATCCCTCTGTTTTTGGCAAGGAGCTCATGTTACGACTTTAGAGAGTACACAGCTCCTCTTTTTTCCCCAGGTGGCTCTGCCTCTCGTTTCTCCTCTGTCCTGCTTCTTTTTTTTTTTAATCACTCACCTCTCACTCCCTTCATCTCCCCCTCCCTAGCCGTCAGTTGTCAAGTTGTCATTGTCACACTGCTACACATGTGGCACCGAAATGACACCAGCCTGCTGCGCCGCAACAGTCAAGTCGAACAAATTACCCATGAGGCCAAGGGGCACACATATCCCCATTAATTGTTCAGGGAGGTTTGCATATGGCCGCTGGAGTGATGCTCGCAGACCACCTTGCTCAAATGATGTGCGTGTGTGTGTGTGTGTGTGTG